AGAAAAGTAGAACAAAGCATCAGTTTTTCAGACATTTCCTTCTCATAATGAGAGAGGCTATTAAATTTCAAGTTCTAGTTAACTTTTGGTTTTTTTATATCTCAAAAATAGACTTGGTTTGGTAACAGATCACAGGTCCATTAAAGGTTAGAATGAAGTAACTGACTCAGAAAACCTAGTTTGAGCCATTCATATAAGGGAAGTTATCACACAGTTTGGTTAGTTTGGGCTTAGGAAGGACCAGCTACACTAACATTTTCTTCTTTTACGATTGGTTATCACAGACTGGTGAAGGCGTAGCTTGTCCCCTGTCCTGTGCCTTCTTGGAACAACCTATATACCTCTGGTAGACATCAAAGGAGGACACAGCAAGAGGATACATTTTTTGCCCATTACCAGCGATAGTAGTCAGAGGATCCCATAATGCCACTGCCACTGAAATAACATCATGTAATTCTTCTTTAAAGCCCTCTAAGTTGATTACTATCACAGCATCCCATGGATCCAGCAAATTCTATAGTTTGAAGGGCTTCTTGCTTCCTTGGCCTCTGCCATGACCCCAGGTGAGCAAAGGAGGAAAACCTCTTCATACCCACTTCCTTTACAGCCTGCAGAAGGTCAAAAACATCTGTCATGGCTCCTCCCTTATTTGCCAAATGTTCCATCATCAGCTGTTCTGACTTTGAAAGGAACTTGTGAGTGATCAAAAAATGATCCATTGCTGGACCTCTGAGAGTAAGCACAGTCTTAGGCAGAAGGTCCCATTTCAAGAGCCATATGTTACTGTTGATTTGTTGCCCAACCCTCCTGCCCTAAATTAAGTCATGGCAAACTTTGTAATCTTTCCCCATCGGACTTATTGCGATCTCCAAATCACTTGGGTTACCCTCTTCCACATTTTTCTACTTTTGATACCCTTTTTCAGATGCAGTGGCTGGAAATGGATAGAAGCAATGTCCATATCAGGAAGAGGTTGGACCTTGATTTCCTCCTCATGCTATTCTCTGGTGGCACAAACGGTATTTCAGATATTTCCTAGAAAATTTCAACTTGCTATCTGTCAGCTTCTGCTGCCTTAATATCATCTACATTTTGGGGAGACATTAATTATGGATAAAGGATTCCATACTTGCTTCCCTTGTCTTTTAAATCTCTTTCTTAATTCACTTCTGGTTGAAACTCCTCCTCCTCCTCCTCCTCCTCCTCTCCCCTTCCTCTTCCTCTTCCAATAAATCACTTATTTAAAAAAGCAACTTAAGACTGCACCATAATGCACTCCAATTTGAGAATAAGCCCTAGAAAACATTCAGATTACTTCTGAATAAACATGCATAGGGCAGTTCTGTGTGAAATAGATCCAGCACTTTAGACTCTTGACTCCTTTCAGCAACCCAGCTGGAGTTCTTAGTCCTGGGTTAACAAATTGCTGGGTGTGGGGAGAAGTGTTCAGTCCCTTTCATAATAACCCTCCTCTTATTTTGAATAATAACCGAACATAAACTGTGTAGAGGTTGCCACATCCAATCTTTAAAAGAAAGATGTGAGATGCATTTGATTATGTAATATTAAAACAAAGAAAGAAAAACAAAGCATAGCAAATATTTGGCGATGGGGGTAACTGTAACGATTCCATGTGTCTTTGGCATAAAACCGACAGGCTTTTCCTAAGCAAAACACTTTGTTGTTACTAAGTTTCAGACGAAGATTTCACACCAGGGATGAAGTATGTGTTAAGTGTGAGTAATCCAATTTTAAGGAGACCCTGGCCCTGTACCTCCACAGACAGTCCCTTTCCTCTTCCTGTCATGTGAATGGACACATCAACCAAGAAACCACTGTGGATCTTAGTCTCCCATGATGTGTGAACTCAGAAACTGAAGGCTAATGACTTGGAACAAACCCAGGTATAACTCTTTAGCTGCCTTTCAAATCATGGCTTATATGAAATCCTATGGGGAGAGCTTCCATTTTTCCATGATGGAAAACTGCTGTGGCCAGCGGTGTTTCCATTAATTTCTACAATGAGGAAGGAAGGAAGGAAGGAAGGAAGGAAGGAAGGAAGGAAGGAAGGAAGGAAGGAAGGAAGGAAGATGCTGAAACACAGGAGATGCATGAAGGAGGAGTTCGTGCATATCTAGATTTAGACAGGATGGGGTTATCCACACCCAAACATTCAAGAACAGTAATGGCTATTCCTCATCCTTTCCTCAAACCTTCCTTCTAAATCAGGACAATCTCTGCAAAGGAACCATTTGCATCCTACAGATGTGCAAGGTCCATAATTTCCATTGGCAGTGGCATCTGGGAAGTCTTAGAAGCAGCAGATGGGCCAAATTACTCTAAAGCATTATAAAGGTGTTGAGGATTTTTAAAATTGTTCTTATAACGTTCTTGCTCATATACCAAAGATTTTCTTCTGAGGACCTCACCGCCCATTTCATACTATGAATATCTTTTTTTCCCCAGATCATAGACATTATGCTCACTGATTTAACAATAGACTCTCCTGCCGTGCCTTTAAAGCAAGATTGTGAATTGACCATAACAGATGTTATGTGTTGGAGGCAACAGTTTGACTCAACAATATTTAACCTCATATTGAATCTGCTTGTTTCAACTATAATATAGTTGAAACTCAAGTCACATTTCCACTTAAGAGAAAGAAGGATGGAAGGAAGCCAGTGAATTAGCATCTTGTTTCCATGAAAACGCCTTAGCATGCTAAATCCATGCTAAGCATCCTAGCACGTCACACGGGTGTTTGGATGCTATGCTAGGATTTCATTAGAGTTCGTTAGGACGTGGATGGGAGATCTCCATGAAACATCCTGGGGCAAGGCAATCTTGTGCCACCTGCTAAAAACCTACATAGACACATCACATCTGACTCAACTTTACAATTTGTGTGTCTAATCCATGATTTAATATCCAGAAAGCAAGACCTCCATAGGTGCTAAGCTACAGTTGTTAGAATCCCTCACTGCCAGCTATGCAATGGAAACTCAACATTTAACAATCCAAACAAGGGAGAAGTGGGGAAAAGTCCAGAGTCACCTTTAGAAAACTCTAACAACACTGGCAGATTTTATGAAGTCTCCCTGCAAGCTACAAAGTCCATCTTTCCAGGAAGCAGCATAACCCCACCACACAACTTGAAAGGGAAAACGCACGACTGCATCGCCCTGGATTCCCTCCTTTGAAAGCTACATGTAGGCATTGGAACTTCCGAGGCTGGGGAAAATGACCCAATTTGCAAAAAAACCTTTCGGCTCAAGGGTTTCCCGGCCTGTGCCGTGCTTTGCAAAGGGCAACGTGGGCTACCTGCGTTCAGTGGCTCCTGAATGGAGACATTTCAGACCCTGCAAAGGGCAACAGGAGCAGTTGATGTTCCTTCAAACATAGGAACCGGTGCATCATGTTCGGAAACCTTCTGACCTTTGCATTTGAACTGCCATGCAGGAATTTCGACTTGTTTGTTCAGTACCCAAAGCAACGCCTTCTTTTAAAAATATTTCAGGCTAGGGGAATCCTGCTCAGTTTGCCAGCAAAAGACATAGCCTCGCATCTGCTCTTTGGAAGGGCTATCGCTTTCCCACTTTTTTCTGTCGTACAAATACAGGCTTCCGGGTAATCATTTACCATCTTTCCATCAGACTTGGAGGTTGCAATCTCTCTAGGACACCAGTGGGAATCACGTACAGAAAAATAAATATTAGGATGGTCAGACACAGCTGCTCCCAGTCAGACAACTCAGCAACGCACCCGTTACAGCGTTGTGCTCCAAAGCAATCCTTTTGGAGACAGCTTCTAGACAGCTTCATCTGGAGAAATCATTTCTGGAGGTGCTAGAGTGAGAACAACAAAGGATAGGCTAATCTCTGCAAAGCCACCCTTTCATGGCCTAGCATCGCACGAAGGGAGCTCTGGCCCACCAAAGCTTATGCTAGAACGAATGAGAGCCTGCATTTTTTATCCTCCCAACCACCTGGCGAGGTAGGTTAGGCAACGAGGCAGTGATTAACACAGCAGAAGGCAGAGGGAAAGCAGATTTGAACCCAGGTCTTCCATGGAGCAAGCCCAGTGCTGTTCCCACTGTGCCACACAGCCTTTTTAAAGCGCTAGGAGACCTTTCTGGGCCGAACACCGGGTGTCCCCTAGTGCGAGGGACACACACCTCCTTTGGGGAGGTGCAGACAGAGGCCGGGGAGGTGTGAAGAGCCACCGAGTTTCAAATCCCCCTTTCCCAAAGTTTCATTGTCTTGTTTTCATCGTCCCTTTCTATCCATTTTGGTGTTTTGGAATTTTAGGGGAGGTGTGGACGTTGAGATTAAACCCAAGGGAGGAGTGATAGCAAAACGTTTAGGACTCTCTGGCCTAAAAAAGCAGTCTGCTAACACAACATGAACGAAAACAAGCTCATTCTAAATCTCTTTCCCCGATAAGTAAGCCACGTCAGATCGGTCCTCAACGGCTGGCGTGAAGAAGTTAAAAGGTAGGAGAAATCCTGCCAAGGTCACTTTCTCCTTTCCTCTTCCTTGTGACATGGATTTCTGTCCCAGCAACTCAAGCCAAGAATTGACACCCTCTGTGTAGACATGATTTACTATTGCAGTGTTCCTCAACCTTGGCAGCTTGAAGATGTGTGGACTTCAACTCCCAGAATTCCCAACTCCCAGAATTCCCCAGCCAGCACAGCACAGCACAGCACAGCACAGCACAGCACAGCACAGCACAGCACAGCACAGAATAGAATTCTGGGAGTTGAAGTCCACACATCTTCAAGCCGCCAAGGTTGAGGAACACTGCACTGTTGGACATGAGTTGATTGCCCCCGATTTTAGCATAAATCTTTCTGCATTGCTGCTAGCCAGCTTTGCTCCACTCCCCCTGCCCTCACACCGGCTCACGCTTCCGTGAGCCTTTCACACGCAACACGGGAGCAAGCCCCATCTGTGCAGCACTGCCTACTCACACACATTTCCAGCACACACCGGTGGCACCTGTATCTGTTGAGTTTCGTGGATCTTTACGATGTCTCTGGGACCAATTGGGGCTGGCAGCTTCTCCAGGACTCTGTGCACGTGTGAAGCAGCGTCCCCCGTGTTAAGTTCTTCCTCTCAGCGACTCCAAAGCTCCTCCCCGCCACGTTCTGAGATCCCGATGGGATCCGATTCAAGTCCTCGCTGAAGCGCAGAACTCGCGGAGTGGCTTGGGGCAGGCACGCTCTGCCAGCGCAGCCTACCCCACAGGGCTGTTGTTGTCGTCGGGCTGGAATGAGAGATTCTCCCCCGCCCGCTGCAGAGCACCGCAGTCCATAAATCAGGAGGAGGAAGAAAGGACGCGGCTCTTCTGGGCTGGCTCGGACAGAATGAACTCAGTCGCCTCGGAGGGAGAAGCGCCGCCGTCTCACGCGGGCGCAGGTGAGGCGGGAAGGTTCGCGGGCGCTCCGCAGACACGCAGGGGCAGCGGCCGG